TATTTTGGGGGCTACAACCCCCCCCCCAGCCCCCCCGTAGAACCGCGCCTGGTGGGTGGGTGAAGGTGGGGATGGCAGGGCTGGTACCATATTTGAATAGGGGGCGCTGTTCAAATTCGACGATTAACACTAGATTACAGAATTGTGTACAAATACCCCCTATCTATAAGCTGCCTCTGTCCGTATTTGGAACAGGCGGACATTAAACCCGTATAATTTTTTTGTTGGGGGGGGGGGGTCAGAGCAGGGGAGGTTAAAATTAGTTTTTTAGGAATTTCTATGCAAAGCAAATTTGACTGAGCTGGGGGGAGTTGACGGTCCCGCCCAGGATCTGCGCCTGACCTCTGGCTAACCCTAAAGGCAACGTGTGGTACACAGCACAGCAACTGGGGCGTCATAAACTGTCCTGTGTCGTGTCAGATTTGTGCAAAGCTACAGGTATTCCGGGACATCGCACAAATCACTCGCTCCGAGCAAGTGCAGCAACTCCAACGTAAGCCTACGACAACGAGATTGATGAGCAATTAATTTGCAGTAAGGGGATACAAACGTATCAGTGACGCACTCAAACGCTAGGTAAGCACACAAAAGGTCCATCTCATCGACTAGGACTACTACGATGCATCGTAATGATCGCGACAGGAACATAACACTGACTCTGAATTTAAACCGCTAACCTGCTGTTTACTTGTATATTATGTACTGCATATTTTGTGACGACATTGTATAAAGTGTTTAAGAAATATCGCATTTAGTATTTGAAATCTGCCTCAAAATCACTGTTTAAAATCCACGAAAGCTTGGAAATATAAAGAAATGCGACTTGTCAGGTTTGTTTATGTTTAATGAAATGGCATGTTTACGAACAAATGTTCTTACATTTTGAAGTGCCAGTATTTGTACATGTATTTTCAAATGTGTTAAGAATGATTCTTATTTGAAGGAAGTACGCCAAGAAAGACAACTGCATCCCCAAAAAAGGGAAATATTAATGGAGCTGTTATAAAATAAAATTTGCAAATTTTGTTGCTCGAAGATTAAGCAGTTATTCAAGTGTTTCTGTTTCCTTAGCTCGTTTTCCGCTTCATTAGTTTGTACGAAAGGAGAGGTGGAGATGTTACCTTCCCAAAATAATGGAGAGGTGATGTCTCCCTGCTCCATTCCTGCAAAATAATGAAGCGCTGAAACAATAGCATGACGTCACAGGTGGACGTTAACAATGTTTAACCTCCACCTGTGACGTAACTTTGGTCTGATGCGTCAGGTCGCATGGTCAAAAATAGTTCGGTCGCCCCTGCTTATGAGATTTTCGCCCCAATTCGATTCGGAACCTGTCTAGGAATGTGCCCTTTGCGTAAATGTATTGCACCATCTCTCCCCTAAATCTAATTGTTTTATACGGCCACATCATCCTGACGTTACTTTAATGCCCATCTATAACAATTCCCTCTCTATGCACATACCAAGTTTCAAGCCAATCGGACTGGTACTTCAGAAGATAAAGGGCTTAAAAAATCGCAATTAATGTTACATTACTTGGCGTTTGCTTGTGGTGTAAATCGAGGACACACACGTGCAACATCATCGGTGAATCGACGACAGGAACCAAATCAAGGATGACCTCGATTAGAAAACGTGTACAAAACCAATGAGAGCTGTTTCGAAAAAAGTTAATGTACAAACAAAGGAAAAGGAAAGAGGAACTCAAGAAAATGCTCGATGTACACCATAAACAACGTGGGAGCACATGATGATGTTATCATTACGTCAGTGTTCGGTAATCGTATTCCGGTGGTAGTATATGTGTATGAAAAAAAATGAGGTCAATCAGATTTGTAAAAGTGTAAAAAAATGTCTGTAGCAACAAACGTGTACGAAATCTATGTAGAAAAGAGGGGGAAAACACTAGACAATTTCGGCTCGTTGCCGGAGCAGGTAACTTATTACTCTGCGCATTGAAATAATGATGCTATAGTTGGGGCTGAATACTTTGATTTTGATCTGCTCCATTTTGAGCAATATCTCAGGAAACCGTGAGCAGCGCATGAAAGCGGGTAATGCATGAACCATCGAGAAATCCTGACTGATTGTGCCGTTTTCGATTTAACAAAATATCGTCTCAAAAAGCAACAAGAAATCCAAGTTGTAAAAAGCCAGAAATCGATATGTTAATGTGCGGCACCGGATGGGAACTGAAGCTTCTTCTGGTAATAAACAACCCGTGAAGCAATCAAGGTTTGTCTAGATATGGCCATCCCATAAACACTAGAAGCAATGAATCCATAGAAAACGATATGCAGCGAGTTACAATCCGCACAAAATTAATATTGCAGATTGCAATTTGATTTTACGTTAAAGAACTGTTGTACCAAGGAGCGAACAATTTGTCAGGCTTTGCTACTCCAGCAAAAGGGCGGATGGGGGGAGAAGGGGGCTAACATCCCCCCACCCCAGAAAAAAAAAACTAAATGGATATATTAAACGAACCCAATTTTTTTTCTTGTTAAGTGACGTCGCAATGAAGGCAGGCTCTGCGTCCATTATCTTTTTTCAAAACAATTGATTATAGTGGTCAGAAATTGCCTCAGATCCCACCACAGAGCATCTAGAATCCCCCCCCCCCCTTAAAAAAAAAAAAAAAAACCGGGGCCCTTGAGCGGGCCCAGAACCCCACGCTGTAATTTGTTTTGACCGATTTTTTTTGGCCCCCGAAAAAAATTGTGTTCTGGATACGCCCTTGCTCCAGCAGGGGCGGACAAAGGACTTTTGGTAAGGAGGGTCAGACCCATTAGATTGCTTTTATGTCCGATTGTTGCGGACAGACAGACATAAAGATGATTATTTTTATTATAATTTTTATTATTTTTGTGTGTGTGTCAAAACAGGGAAGGGGGGGGTTCGACCCCCAAACCCCTCTTTGGATCCGCGCCTGTCACGGTCCAGCTTCTCAATGCCAGGTATTCAACACATTTACGGGTTCCGAATTTATAAAGCTAAACACTTTTATTAAAATCTAATAGACAAAACATTAGTGCTTTGCTTAATATACATAGATTTATTTTTTGAAATTAGCAAAACAAACATATTTGAACCGACAATGTCTGAGAGTTACCATCATTGTAATAGATTGAAACTAACACACTCGAACTGTTGACGAACCCTGCGTAAAGGCCGGTTCATACTCAGCACAAAAGCGAATGCGAACGTGGAAATGTGACATCACGGTAAGTATTCGTGCTGCGAGTTCAAAAAGGTGAACACATTTAAACTTGCAAATTCACTTGATCAAATTTTCTTTGCATTTGCATTCGCGTAAAGAGTGAACCCGCCTTCAATATTGCATTTTTTCCCCGAACAAAGTGTCTTTTTTTTTTTTCTCAATTACTAAGGCATATTATACAAAACAACAATCACGATTTCAGGTGCATTGATGTCGTAATTTTGATTGCGTTAAATATGAAATTTGTCACTTCAGTGTCATGACATTTTGTTGCATTCAAATAATTCAATATAATTCCAGATATTTAGTTTGCTTATCAGTACCATGGCATTGCATTCCCCGACTTAACGAATTCGGATTATACAGAGCTAAGCAATATTTTAACATTTAAGTATGACTGTACTTAAACTGTTTTCAAGACCAAAAACGAAATAAGGAGTAACACGAAAACATTTGAACCGAAAGGTTTTTAAAATACCCTCAAAAGATTGAGACAAACTCTCATACTAAAAAGGTGTTATGTACCTCTATGGAAATGGACATTTTCACCGAACACAATTTTAAAATGGGTACTTGTTTTCCTTTCTTACACACTTAGCACACAACCAATGCGTTATTCAAATGTATTTGTTTTGCGTAATTTTGAACGCGTTAAATAGTCAAATCTGTTATAATAAGTGCCACAATTATCAATATTGGTGCATTGAAATAATTAATGATAATAAAAGATACAATTGATTTGCTAACACTGTGTTTATACGGTACAAGTATTTACAATATATATTTATGTGAACAAGGATTCTCTACATACATATTGTATTGAAATGTATGTCTAGGTCACAACTAAGGTCAACCGAAACTTATAATTTGATATAAATGTACAGTCAACCCGAATCTGCATCCGTACTGATGGCATCACACTTTGTTTACGTGTGTGCTTTTCTGTGATTCTACGAAACCGTCATTCCAACCAGGTTCCCATATGAAAGCACACATGTAAACAGAGTTCGACGTCATCAGTACATATAGGCTTATTGTTCAGGTGTTTTGGTTGTGTCCTTGTTTTTGTTGATATTTTTCCTGTTTTCCATTTGTTTGTTTGTGTTTCTGTTTGTTTGCTTTTACTGTTATCTCCTTTCTAGCTTTGTGTTTACAGCGGCGAGGTTCAAAGACAAACTCTAATTAAGCTTATTACATCAATAATAAAATTGAATTTCAAAACACACGCTATTTTTAAGCAAAAATTGTTCGAAAGAATTCTTGGGAAAAAGGCATACACCTGTGCTATGGCATATCATATGGCTTATCAAGTTGGTCATAATTACATGTATGCGATATGGGTTTTTGAATCGATTTCAAACGGTTAACATTTGTTACCCAATAATTGCAACCCGGACTCCGAATCGTGTGCATATTATTCAGTGGTTACATATTTCACATTATGTTTATTAGTATGACTGTCACGACCTTATTGAATTATCCTCTTCTGAATATCACCCCCAAAAAGGTCATAGTTCTATCGCACTCATGTTGCCGTAGACGCTATGCCTTCAAGCTACCTCAAATATGTTCTTTGTTGTTTTTATCTAGTAACACTAAAACACAATCGTCTATTTATGCCTGTCCAAGCGGTACCAAACCATTGCCGTCTGGCTCTGACTTAATGCGTTTGGCCAAATCTATATTGTAATGCCATCTTGCCAAAACGAAAGATCAAAATACCACTGATTCAGCCCAATCAATCACGGCGACATCCAAGCAACTCAAATTGCAGACGGACCCAGCCTTGCCATTCGGTAGGCTCAATGCGCACTACGGTCGCCACCACACTCTCATCAAACATGTTAGTGACCGGGGTGTTGGCATCAGTGTTACCCGTGAACACCTGCAACAGAAGCATATCAATACAGGGTTTATCTTTAGAACTGTAAAAATATTGGAAGAAGGGAGACACTTTCTTGGATATTAGTTGTAAACAAAACGTTTATAATTTTATCAGTACCGTACGTACTTCGTCGGGGAGGGTCAAGGATGCACTCCTGCACTTTTCGGCGCACGTGGGTACTCTTCAAATCGAACATTTTTGGCTTTTCCGCAAAAAAGCGGAAAAGCCTTTCTTTTTGTTCTCATTTTTTTTCTTTCTTCTTCTTCTTCTTTTTGTCGCCTAAATCCCATAGACTTTGTACACGTTTTTTCTCAGTGCCACTTTTGACATTTATCTTTGTCATACGTCATTCAAAGTTAGCATAGTCATAGTCCATATAGCAGAGATGTGCCCCGAAGAGTGACGTCATGGTGACGTCATCGACTAATTTATTACGGATTTTTGAATATTTAATTTTTCCCATAGACTTTGTACACAGAAATTTTAAAAAAATTGTCGCTTTTCAAAGGGCATTTTCGACTCTTTGCCAGTTATTCATTTACACCACTCTTTGTCCAAGCAAAGACCCTAATTCAAACAACATTGTGGAATGATGACGTCATGATGACGTCATCCTGTGTTTATTTATAGGCAATTAAATTGTGACACTTTTAATATTTAAAAATGCATAAGAAATCAACCGTACGCGTCCGCAGCATTCCGTTGCCGGCAAGTGGTAGAGTAGGTTGAGGTCTTCATTTCATTCAGTGTGCGTGAAATCACGTGACCCTTGCTTCCGGTCGAAAATGGCCAAAACAGGAAGTGGCATATTATTTAAAAGTGGTAATAGATATGAACTTGCTTTTAACAGTGTTAGTCTCTTGGCTGATAGTATTCCTTAAATCATCTACCGATGACGTCATGCAATCTTCGAGCGCCCTCTAGCGACAGGTTGAAAATTTACAAAAATGTATTTTGCATAGATGTCTGTGGTGAAGTTTGTCGGAATCGCCTAAATATCGGTGTATATGATGATCTTGACCCACTTAAGACGTGTGCGAAGTTTTAGGCGTATGACGTCATCAGACCGGAAGTTCCGTTGAAATGACCTTTTCTTTTTCAAAAATTGCTAACAAATCAATCCGTACAGATATAATCTTGAATTGCCCAGTAAATGATAGCGTAAACATTTGCCTCAACAGTGCCAAGTTCCCAGATTGTCAAATTGTTCACACAGTTGACGCGACGTCGGCAAAAAATACCCTTACGCAAGTTGCGGTAGAGAGCTGTAAAACATGCACTCGACTTCCACAATGTGTATAGCACATGCACGTACGTACATACATCGTATGTCAGTCAGCCCGCAGCGCACATGTTGCTGAGGTCAAATCCTGTCCACAGTGACCGTTTTAGCCGATTTTCGGCTAACTTTAACAGATTTTATGTTCATGCATAGTCAGGGACGTATTATTGATAAAAAAAACATAATGCGGAAAAGCCCTATGTTCTGTTGCAAACAGACATAGATCTCTAGTTTTGTTTCGTTTTATTGGTAAAATTGGATAAAAGAGGGATAGGGTAATTCCACTCGTAGCGGTTGACGGGTATGCAGATGGTTTGATTTGGTAATACAAAAAGGGGGGCCAAAAAGATCGAAAATTTTGATAAATGTACCTTGGCGTTTCCGTTTGCATCTGTCTCATATGTCATTTCAGATTCGGACTGCTCCCTAAAGGCCACTTTATACTTCTTTACATATCCAGTGTACTGCCCGATCTTCTGGCTTTTTGTGATGACGCCCGACACAACAATACTGGTAGCCAGGTCCACCTCGATCCAGGAACCGTCATTGCTGTGTACACAGAGTAGATGGAGGTGGGGAACAATGAAATAAACATGCTCCGCAAAAAAAACACGCTTTGATGAGAAGAGTCATTGGCAAAAACTGAGCGAGATTAAACTATTGAAGCCTTTTCGAAACTTTTAATATGAACGTGTCAACACGTTTTATATTAATGTTACTTGAGCTCATTCAAGGTTTATCAGTACAAGTTTGACTTTCATCCGATTTTTTTTCCAATTGCTATCTTTCTACCAATGCAAAACTTACTCAATTTAGAATGAGACATTGAACAAAAGTATCGGTCTTCTTTTATTTAAGGAATAATTACGAAACAAATGTCCAATTTATTGCTGCCTGAAAACAATTAAGTTGCCTCAGGGTAGCCTGGTTTCCTCCCCTCCTATTAGATTTGATAGTGTAGGGACCAGAAAACCAGGCTTGCAGGGCAACCTTTAGAAAACCAGTATTTGAGGGAGTTGACATATTAGATTAACAAACAGTAGTTTATTACGTTCAATAAACTACTTCGCCTGCCATGAGTAAAATCAAATCAGATTGAATGAAAAGTCATTCGTCTTTGTATAAGGTTTTATACATGGATGTATTAAAAGTGTTGGGTGCAGTTTGTGGTAGTTCAAGATGGTTTCCTTTGATGCTTACCTCGATGGTGCCCATATACTGCCACTGTTCAGCCGGCCTTTCTGGGGTGTGCAACAGTCAGGATAGTCGGTGTTCACCCAAACGCTGGACGCCGTGATGTGATCATCAGCGATTGTCTCGTCTTCCATACCAAGAGGCTCTGAACACTCAGTTTGTGCTGTCAAGCGTGAAAATAAATCATATCAATGTATAAGTGTCCACTAGCACTGCCCCTTTTTTGGGGGGGCGAGGGGTTCAGAAACTGACGTTATGAAGTCATCTTACCCGTACCCGTTCGTGTTTATAATTATTTTCTGCTGCTTCGGAATTTGGTGTTATGTACGCATTCGTAGACTGAAAATCACTTAATCTAATTAGCTAAGCACGGGAGTAAATCCTGGGAGAGGGGCCTATCTGAGCCTCACTTATCGGCTGGGGACGGACACTCTACAACGGCCTTAGGGTAGTCTTGGTCCAAGACTGGAGTTCGTTTTTGTTATTCCTGCAGCCGGTCGCATTTTCCCCTTGCAGGCTACTAAAGTAATTTACGTTGTTACGCATACATAAAAAACATCCCGTGATTTAATCAGTATGTCACGTGATTTGAATTAATTTGCAATTCACGGGGAAAAGTGTCGCATCACTTTATCCCGCTCCGTTAGGCCGCGTGGTCAAAATGCTGCAGGTTGCGGTTTCGACAACCGGGGGAGGGGGTTCGTTTCTATTATTTCCACCAAAGTAAAATGACTTTCTTAAAATTGTTTTTAATCAAATCCTACTGATCGATGAAAGAGATTTCATCATTTTCCTCTGATTCATGGCTTTGAAGAATTATAGTTTATTAAGCGAAGTAAACACCGACAACCATTCCGTTCCGTTCCGTTGAGTTAATCACGAGTTAAACGACATTGAAAAGAACAGAAGCAACACAAAACAAAATTTTGTTTCTGTTATTACTACATTGTAACAACTATGTATATTTTACGGTGAAAGTTATGTGAATGTTCGCAATGAGTAACCGTAAATGAAGTACGTAATTTCATTTTACCAACAAACCCGTAACTCATAGTTCACTATGGGATTGCTCGCGCATCGCCGTTATCTTGTTTTCCCCAGACATGACGAGACAAACAATATTCTTAGCGATAAATGGCTATTTTGCTGCATGATTTTATTGTTATTGTAATTTTATTTTGTAATTTGGCTAGTTTGTGATAAATACACAGATTGTTAGTTGCCGGATAGAAGATGTTAAGAGTGAATTTGTTGCGTTTACGTGCAGGCTTACACAAATGATTAAATGACGGATGTGTTTAAAGTAATCTACAGGCATTGGAGAAGATATAAATGATAAGCTAAACTGCTCCAAATAAAGGTTTGATTAACACAAAAAAAATCGTTGAAAAAAAAACGATGCACGTGAAGAGAAGCAGTTATTAAAGACTTTTTCTAGAAACAAAATCGGTTTGTTCATAAAACAACGTACGGTTCAACCGTTAAAAATATATACGGTAGACAGGTGAAACTTCGCTGCACGACTTTTGACCGTAAATTGTACGGGCACTGTTTTTACTGTGTGGTTTAAAATGGAGCAGTAACTAGAGCTGGAAGTATTACCTGTACTAACTGCAGTCGTTTGACTAACTGTAGTCGTGAGACTAGCAGTAGTCGTACCACTAGCAGTAGTCGGTCTACCAGCAGTAGTCGTTCCACTAGCAGTAGTCGTACCACTAGCAGTAGTCGTACCACTAGCAGTAGTCGGTCTACCAGCAGTAGTCGTTCCACCAGCAGTAGTCGCCCCAACAGCAGTAGTCGTTCCACTGCAGTTGAAGTAAGCTTGAACTTCGTCGGAGTCCTCACTCAGGAAAAGCTCCTTTAGGTAGTGGGACGCCCCCTGGCGGTATGATGAAGCAGGGATGTGCGTCCCACCGAGACGTACAGCGGTGCATTCGCACGGATCTTTGTACGGCAGGAACCAACGGGGTGGGATACCAGCTTGGGGGTTGTACTCCGATCCGATGAAGCAGACTTTGTGGCATGAGGCCAACACTACAGTTTTCGTATAAAACATGCACGCAAAAAGAATAAGAGAAAAAATAATTATGTCAATGTTAAGGTTATTTGTTTGGTGCAATATTGATTAGCATGCACCATTGGTGAATAAGGTTCGAATACCAAAAGGTCAAAAGTTTAAAGTATATGAGGCTAATGACACAAGAAATGAATGTAACCCACATTCAAATGCAAACCACAAAAAAAAATGTCACGATCAATTTATCGTAACCAATATCTTTAAGTTCAGTCATGTCCAAATTACACACATTTCTATGTGTAATTTCAAGCTGTAGCCAAATAAAGGGGACGCAGTCTTATTACAAAGTGGTGAAAATGATTATATTGCCACCCAGTGATAACCATGGAAGGTGCTTAAAGTTTAAACAATAAGTCAAATGCCAAAAAAATTTAACTATAAGTCAAATGCCAAAAAAATTAACTAAGCAATATTACTTGAATTCAAACTATGGAAATAGTTGGGTTTTTTTCCGCACACAGAGAAAGGTTGGAATTTTTGAAGCGCCCTCTCGCAGTAAATCTAATGCAACAAAATATCGATGTCCGAGATGATGAAAAGGTTTCGTACCGCCCCCTAGTGATAACATTCAAAAAGTATGAAAGATGAGCTTCATAACTAAAGAATGCAATTATTGGTATGCATTATGGAAACAACCAAAACAAGGTGGATGGGTCGATCGAGCACCCTCTCGCGGTAAATCAAACGCAACACAATTATCAGTGTTTCAAAAGTGGAACGGATTTTTACCACCTTTCTAGTGGTAAGCAAGGTGCTGAAGGTTTAAAAGATGAGCATCTTTAATACTGGAAAGTAAAATATGGGAAACTTGTTTCGCATACAAGATGTGTAAAGCGTACACTTGTGATGAATATAAAGCAACACAAAATCAACATCTGTGTTGTCATTTTCGCAGAAGAAATTGCGTGATCAGTTCAAAGAGCTACCCCCCCCCCATATGGTGAACTCAAATATCTCTGTTGGGCGTAAAGAAAAGCGTCGTTTAAATGTTTATGAATTATAAGTAAAATTTCATGACTTGCTGTCCTTGCAATCAAATCAATTTGAATGTGGTTGGGAGAATGACAACAATTTGCCACTAGGCTATTGTTGCTGGAAGGTAGACTTCTTCCGGTCACCAGGCTGCCGCAGATTCCTGCAAAAAGTTGAGGAGTGACACGGACTTTTTTTGGGGGGGGGGGGGTTGAGGGCACTTCAAATATCTTTGATACTATAGGACAGTAGGTGGCGCTATTCATGGCGGCATAATTTACTGAGTGACACACGATGCGGTCGACAGAACGAGGATTTTACCGACAACATATTTTAATTGGCATACCCGTCACACCACCTCCACCTCCCTCCATCAACGCCTGTGCTGTTGTGTATTGTAATTTTGTAAACAGAGGCTCTTAATGTCGACTGATTAATTATTGGGGTGGGTATTTTACTCAGCACCACCTCCCCCCCCCCCCCCGGTTCGCTACATACTGCCCTGATCAATCAAAAACAATATACGCAATTGGTCTGACTGCTGTTGCGATGTAACACCGCACAAAAAAAATGCACCAGCCACTTCCTAATAACTGTATGCGTCCTCGAAACACAAAGATCACTTCATCACTTCATTTTTTTTCGGAAGAAAACTGTGTTTCGTCTTACAAACAATTAATTTAATGTTTTTGTAAAAAAAAAAAAATTACCCCCGTGCTTTTGTCACAAGTTGAGTCCTTAGATCTAGAGCAATCTGTTATTTCAGATAGGTTTTTTTATTTTATGGGGATTAAAAGAAACAAATAATAATTGCTGGGAAATACTTCGAAGTCTTTCAACACTGTAAATCGACTTTGTCCTGTTTCACCAAAGTGGCGTTAGGGTGCTGCATGTTTTTCAGTTTATCATCGTTATACCATAAAGAAAAAGGGTGGGCATTACATTCACTGTGTGGACTTCCGAAAAATAAGAGGTCCACATAAATTAGGCAGAGGAGACGTTGTGTGGACTTGGGCAAGACCACACAGTGTTTCGAGGTATTTTGGGGTTAGGTTTATCTGTGGCAGAATGAAGAGAAACACCAGAGGGAATCTTGGGGAAAAAATTGGTTGAAAGAGTTTCACTGTTTGAGAAAAATGAGTTTTTGTACTGGATTTTCTTAACTACACGAAACCAAGGGAATGTACACATTACGTAAACATGCGTGTACACACATGCCAGTTCGTAGACACAAAGTAGATCCTAGTCTTGACAATCATTCGTCCTTGCGCACAACAGTAAGAAGTAATTGCTACCTGTTGTTTCTTGAATGCTGAACATTAAAAGAAAACTTCATGAGGATTCAAGCATTTGCTTTTCCGTAATGCTTTTACTCTAAAGTACATGCTTTTACTTTTTCCTTAAACTTCCTAGCAGTTGCTAGTTTTTATTCACACGTACCAATTACACATGAACACATCAACATACACACGTTTTGCGCTTTATGGTCTAGCTGTTATAAATATTGTACAGTATTGTGACTGAACTTAGCTATTTTCGAAATTCAACATGAAAGTTGCTAATGACAGCCTACCTGCCACTGCTGATGCCAACAGAATCCAAGCTACTGCTCCGTCCATTTTCCCTGATGCAATGATCAAATATCTGTTAAATTGATCGTGTATCTCCGAGTACATAAACCTCATTTGCTTGCCTCGTCAGAGCTAGCTACGCAGACAATCAAAGTGGCTAATGCCATTGACAGCCAATAAAGTCACTGCGTGTTGTCTATTTTCAGTGC